CCCCCCCCCCCCATCATGGCAGTCGATGTTGTTGCAGGGGAGGGGTAGGCCGCCGGCTTCTCCCTGTGCTTCAAGCGAGTGGCGGTGCTGCAAATAGGGGCTCACCGACTTTGCGATGAAGCATCACCGGAGGATCGCCGGAGCTGCAATGAAACGCGAGGGGTCGTTGAAGCAGCGCCGGAGTTGCAATGGAGCATCGCCGGAGCTCCATTGAAGCGCCGCCGGAGTTGCAATGAAGTGCCGCCGGAGTTGCAATGAAGTACCGGAGCTGCAATGGAGCGTCGCCAGAGCTCCAATGAAGCGCCACCAGAGCAACAATGAAATGCCACCGGCGTTGCAAAGGAGCATGCATGTCACGTCGCGAGTGATGCCACGCAACGCTCGTCAAAGCTTGTCGGCGCTGCGATGCTATGCAGCAACACATGCCGCTGTGGAGAGGCTGCAGGTGCTTGTTGGAGTCAGGAGCGGCGATGGTGCTGCACTGCGTCAATGATGGGGGTCGGCACTGCAAAGTTGCATCCACGGCGTCTTCGATGACGAGATGGTGACGGGCGTCGCTGCTGCAGAGAGGTTGCACATCTCATCACTGGCTTTTCTTGGTGTAGATGGGAGAAAGAGGAACAAAGACGCGCGCTCGCCTTCCGGATCGAATGACCACGCGCTTTGAATCGGACGGCTGCGCAAGCGGCTGATCTTTCCCTAAGATCAAGCGGCTGATTTGTAGCGGTCGCCATATTATTAACCAATGCTCTAATCTCCTTGTATCACGCCACGCCGCCATCAGCCGCGCTGGCAGCACCGACCCACGTGCCACCACACCGGATCACGTGGCCCGCAAAATTAACCGCGATTTCAGTTTAACGATTGCCAAATTTACCGTACTACCCCTCCCATGCTCCTCCACTGATATTTTTCTCTCTGGGACGGCCAGCGGCTACTGTTCACACTCCACAGTACTACTCCGTACTGATCTACTGATGCTGGCGGCAGCGGCTTCGCTCCAAGTCCAAACCCTAACCCTAGCCATCTCCGACTCGATCCGAGGCCACGAGGCTCCCCGCGGCGGCGGCAGAGGAGATGGAGGAGCTTAGGCTCGGCGGCGGCGGCGGCAGGGGGAAGCCGCCGATCCCGTCGTCGGCCTCGGCGAGGAAGTCGGTGCTCTCACGGCACGCATCCTTTGTAAGTAATAACGCCTCAGAATCTCGATTCTCGGCGCGCTTAGCTTGGTTGATCGTGTGATCCGTGCGGAAAGCGGGAGCTTTACGTGGCGCCCCGCCTGATTCCTGCTCAATGTTTGCTGTTCGGTGCGATTCCTTCGCTTCAAGGTGAGCTGTTTGCGCCGAGGAGCTAGAGTTTGCACCCTTCTGATGGGAAGTTCTGTTGTGCATCTTGGAGGTGGGGAGAGAGGGGAAGGCATCTTTCTTCTGGAATTTTCTTGGCGGTACATACATGTTGTACTAGAGTACTAGCATCCTGCAATGGGGTGTTCAGATCCGTGCGGTTAATGTGGATGCCAGTTATCGGGAGACTACAAAGCCGTATTAGATGCTTGATGCTCCTAATCAGGTGGTCTTTTGATAAGTCTGCGTTGGGTCCTATGAAATCATTGACTGCATCAACTGGATGTGGTACTGGATATGCAGAGCTTTCAGAATTCTCGTGTAAACTAGAAAGCTGTTTTAGATGCGTATGTTCAGGTGATCTTTTCAAAGAACTGCCTTGGGTTCTATGAAATGATTTGAAATGCAGAGTTTTCAGAATGTTTGTGTAAACTAGAAAGCCGTTTTAGATGCGTATGATCAGGGGGTCTTTGGAAAAGACTGTCCTGGGTTCTATGAAATGGTTGATATGCAGAGTTTTCAGAATGTTCGTGTAAACTAGAAAGCCATTTTAGATGCGTATGATCAGGTGGTCTTTTGGAAAGACTGTCTTGGTTTCTATGAAATGATTGGTATGCAGAGTTTTCAGAATGTTCGTGTAAACTAGATCAGTCGCATGTGCTGCCGTGGTTTTTTATATGGGATGGTGGGCGATGTAGCTTGTGAACATGATACATTATTCATCTTGAAGGGCATATCTTCCTGGAAAGGTTGCTATCTGGCAATCTGGAACTTACGTGTCATGGAAGTCTCTTAACTTCTTGTGTACTTGCCATTCCCTGTTCTGACCTAATGTCCTCTGAACATTATTCAAACAAGTTGGTGCTAGAAAAACTATTCTCGTGCTTCTTTCAAGTAGTAATCGGCAAACTGCAGTTGAAAAACTCCTAGAGCCTCTTTGCATGTTTTAAGGAGTTTGCAAAACGTTGGTTTGATTTACTCTTATTACCCTGTTCCATCTTTTGGTTCTCATCTCATTGCTCTACTTGAGGTTTGGTTTGGGTTATTGAAAAATTGAAGTCCCTAGTTCTGTCAGATTGAACATTGCTTTCTTGATAGAGGCCAAAACAAAGGTGGTGTACATGTCATGTATGGCTTCCCTTCTCAGTATTACAGTACAAATAGTATATTTGTATTTCTACTAATCTATAGCGTGTACGAGCTGATACCGGAACAGTACTGCTTGGGATTTTTAGGAGGCAAAACATTGTGTTTAACAAGAGAGTGAAAATGTTATCAGGTCACATTGATTTCACATGGTACTATGATAGGGAAGGGGATTAGTCTTTCCACAACTCTTATGCTTATTTTGATGATGTGGTGTGATGGGGTTCGTATTTTTGCTTGGTGGGATCAACCTTATCAGCAAGGTTCTGGAGTGAAGAGCTAGTGATAGCTGCGGTATACCTTTTTTGGACCCTAGTTGCTAAGTTATGGACTGACAGCCAAATGTTCTGCTTTAGTAGTGGCTATAGCTTCAACTAGCTCTGCTATTTTTTATCTTATAGGCAATGATTGCTGTGCTGTACCATATATGTACTTCTACCAATAGAACATGCTAATTTTGAAAATCAACTTCATTGAATGGCCTAAATACATCTACTGACAGTAAAGTATGAAAAAACCTATCGAAAGATCTCAATATCCTCCTTTCCAACACTCCAACATCCATACTATGATTGAATACTTACTGAGACGAAAATTGTGCTCTGGACTTCTGGTTATGGACTTTTACATCAAGACTTGTCCTATATGACTCAATGGGGTATGCATCGTTATTATTTTTTCTATTTATATTAAAATGCAATAAGTAGCTTTGGCAATATCTTTCAATAGTTTAGCTAGCCACTAGGACCTCACCGTGAAAAAGAAATTTAAGCCCTTGCTTATAAGTATCAGCATGATATGCTTCCACCACTTAATAATAAAGTACTCCCTCCATTCCAAAATACTTGTCGAGCATGACAAGTATTTTGGAACGGAGGGAGTAGTATGCAATATGTTGTAACTTTTTTTTTTGGTAAGGTTAACTAATTATCTTGCATGGCTTCAACTCGCAGGCGAGGGGCCCTTTGAGCAGTACAAAATCTGAAACAGAGAGAACTTTTGAAAGCACAGATGTTGAATATATCCCAGTTGTACGGTCTGGAGGCTGGGCTGACATTGGGTCAAGGAGCTCAATGGAGGATGTCTACATTTGCTGTGACAACTTCCTGCAAGATTTTGGACCTGAAAACTGTGAAGAAGGGCCCAGTTCATTTTATGGGGTATGCTTTTATTCTAATATGTGTGTCAAATTTTCTCTCCTTTTCCTGGAAACTGGAAAGAACTATTTTAAACAAACTGATCACACTGCCACAAGAAGGGCAAGTGTGATTGAAAATTTCTGTCTTGATGTTTGTAATAATTGTCAGCAAATTTTAGTCATTTCATGATTGATAGACATCATGAACTCTCTACTGACAGAGTACATTTGTACATCTGACAGGCACTTCCTGTGTATGTACTGTTCACACGATTTTAATGTTTTAGGTTTTTGATGGGCATGGTGGAAAGCACGCTGCAGACTTTGTGTGCAGCAATTTGCCAAGGTTCATCGTTGAGGGTGATGGTTTTCCGGGGGAGATCGAGAAAGCTGTCTCCTCAGCATTCTTACAGACTGATGCTGCTTTTGCAGATGCTTGCTCTGTGAACTCCTCTCTTGCATCTGGCACGACTGCGCTTGCTGCTCTCATCATCGGGAGGTATTGCCCTAACTTGTGTAACTATAAGCCTTGTAGTAAGTTATTCTGTAGCATTACTGTCTAGACACTACTCCCTCCGTCCCATAATATAAGAGCGTTTTTGACACTACACTAGTGTAAAAAACGCTCTTATATTATGGGAAGTGTAAAAAACGCTCTTATATTATGGGACGGAGGGAGTAGATATGAAGTATTTTAGTAACTACTTATTCCTCCTTATGGCCTTGTGGTTCCTGTTTAGTTATCTGTGTGAATAAATTCTTCTATGTATGCACTCTACACTCCATTTTCCCACATATTTAGTTTATTTATTTATTTTGGCAATGACAAGTTATTCCTTCCGTAGCTTTAAAGTCCAGCAAAGGCTTATACATAACATATGCCTTTCTCCCTTAGTGAGTGATACATATATCATTATATCTGTTAGCAAGGTTTTCTCTGCAAGTATTTGAGCATCACTTCCCACTGATATCAGTTTCTCGTTCTTTGAAATTGAAAGTTTTCCTGTTCTTGTCATGCCTTTGAAGTGCTTTAGCAGGTTTTCATACATGCTTTGCTCCTTTACTGAGTAATATGCATGGCATATATATGTTTTCTGAATAAACCAGTGCATCCCTTTTATGCCTACTCTTTTATTTAACAATGTTAATACCAGCATGATTTTCCTTTCTTTTGTTTCAACTGTTCTTTCTTTCCATTTATCTATAGTTTCGACAGCGTTATCTCTGGAAAATCGGTATTTTTGCTTGAGTTATTTTTCTTTCTTAAACATTTCTGCATGATTGACAGGTCACTTCTGGTGGCAAATGCTGGTGATTGTCGAGCAGTTGTATGTTGCCGTGGAAAGGCGGTTGAGATGTCCAGGGACCATAAGCCATCTTGCAACAGAGAGAAGATGCGCATTGAAGCCTCGGGTGGTTATGTTTACGATGGATACCTGAATGGGCTGCTGAATGTTGCTAGAGCAATTGGGGACTGGCACATGGAAGGAATGAAAGCATGTGATGGTCTTGGGCCTCTTAGTGCGGAGCCGGAGGTGATGATGCGGAATCTTACTGAGGAGGACGAATTCCTGATCATCGGCTGCGACGGGATCTGGGATGTATTCCGCAGCCAAAATGCGGTAGACTTTGCACGCAGGAGGCTTCAAGAGCACAATGACCCTGTCGCCTGCTGTAAAGAGTTGGTCGATGAGGCCATCAAGAGGAAGAGCGGCGACAACCTTTCCGTAGTTGTCGTCTGCTTCAACTCCATAGCGCCTCCTGTCTTAACAGCTCCCAGGCCTCGCGTGCAGAGAAGTATATCCGCAGAAGGCTTGAGGGAGCTGCAGGGCTTCCTCGATAGCTTGGCGGACTGATATGTGTGGCTTGAGAACCCTGGCAGGTGGCAGCGCTGTAGTAATCCCATTTTTCCATAGCCTAGCTTGGAATTTAGGTTTAGTATGTGCCCCATCTCATAACCTGAGATGGTTGTTGTTGAGTAATGCATCACTGTAACATATTATGCGGCTAATTTTATCTGCACCTGGAGGTACTTATTTGCTTGTTTCGGACACTGCTAGACTTCACAAGTTTGAAAGGTTAACAGAGATTCCAGTGATCTTCTTTTATGATATCTGTGTTTGTGATTTTTTTACAGTGCAACTGGACTCGAGACGAGCCACCAGGTTTGGAAAGCCGATTCCTCTAGATGTTCTTATGTACGCGCTTTCTGTGAGCAAGCGTGAGAGGATGTTATGTACTGACATCTTGAAGGATCCGTGCCGCTATTGATTTCATGCACCAGCCAATTCATCAAAAATCCGAGCCGGGAGAGGGGGTCGGACATGTGCAGCTATTTCAGCCAATCCACCAAAAGCCCGTACCGAGAGAGTTGGACTGTCAAAGTAACCGCCGCTTGTTTGAGCGGGAAGTATACCCCGGGAGCCCATGAAAAAGAAAGAAAGCTGCGAGGACTAATCATTCATGTGTCCTGTGATTGAAATCGCCAAGGTTGATGTGTTCCGTCGCTCCCTACCCCCTCCGTCCCATAATGTAAGACGTTTTTTTTGACATTATACTAGTGTCAAAAAACGTCTTACATTATGATTAATGTCAAAAAAAAAACGTTTTACATTATGGAACGGAGGGAGTAATAAGCAAGCTTTGTGGGCGTGCTAGGATCATCTGATCATGCATCTTGTCAATCTCGCTCTTCATCATGCAGCTTTTTTTGTTGGCCCATAACCGTCGAGAAGCAGCCCATGATTCATCGAGAAACAACAAGCCACACTCAGGTGGCATTGCACAGTAGTCTGTCTTGGACAACAACCTCCACTCCACCGGGTTTCGTCAGATGAGATCCAACAGCAAGCACAGCGAGCCTACGTACAACAAGGCGGCACACCACAAAAGCGTGCATCACCTCAACATTTCATGAATGGTTTCTCCGTTCAATCATTGAGCCTAGGCCAGACCAGGCGAGAAACTAGGCGTGACCACGCACGCCCTCTTGAGTAAACACCAAGCTTCGCAGTCTCCTTCCTCCCTCGCTCCCACCGCGAGATTCCATGGACCCCCAGCCTCGCCACTGAACCGCTCGCGAGTGAGCCGACAGCGCGAGAGACTCCGGCACCAGCCACCGGGCACGGGCGACCGTCACGTCGTCGGCCGTTAACCGCACCAGTCATGCACGTACGACCGCATCGCATCGGATGCCACTCCGGTCCGGAGTCTATCATTGCGTCCCGGACTTGTTTCATCTGTCCAAGCGGGAAGTCGTCTGCGTCTTCGACAGTGCCGCTGCGCGCATCATTGCGAGACGCAGAGCACTGAGTGAAGCGAACTGGTCGAAAAGGACCAGACTGGGAAGGCAACCCAGCCTTGCCCCCCTTAGTGGGATGGCTGGCCCGATGAAAAGCCCCATCTTGGACGCCAACGGTTCATGTTTCTTCATCGCTTCATCGTTGAAACTCTAGCAAGATACTTATTGCAATAAGTGGGAACTAAATTTGATGATGCCATCTTTGGTTAGGTCGAGGTCGAGCGTTTGATGAGCAGAGAGCTATTACTAGACCAATTGATGCGATTCTCACTGGATGGATCTCTATCTGGTTGGGGTCTACATGCCCCTTAATCATCGCGATCATAACGTACTAGTCGTAGTGCATGATAAAACCTAATGAGGTGTACTTTGGGCTCGGAGCGCAATGATGACGCGCGGGGAGCAGGATTTGGATCTTGTGAAGAATAATCATAAATTCTCCTGCTGCTGCCATGGGCATTGAAGCTGCCTTTGCTGGACACTGTGCGTGCATGCTCAATGGATCTGCATGCTGCGGCCGGCCTGCGTGGTGGGTCAGCCGGCCTGGATCGCAAAGGACGTACGTCTCCATTTTTTTGGGGGACGTACGTCTCCATTTTAATGAGCGAGGGGAGAAAGCTAGCCTTGATCTTTTGTGAGTAAACAAGTCTTTTTTGGGCCAAAGGATCAAAGGTTAAGATCCCCCCACTTTTGCTTGCGGGGACATGGCTAAAACATTGTGTCGATCGGGCTATTGCCTATTGCTGCTCGCTCGTGCTCCGTCCGTCTAGTCACCTGGCGGACAGGCGAAGAGCATGCATCAGTTTGACCAGATACATAAAAGTGTGAAGGAAAAAAATTCATGACAAAGTAAGAGTAAACTAAGTTGTATGAGGCACCGGTAACAGTTTGCTGTCAAATCTGCACCGAGATACAATTATCACCGCATGATTCAAAGCCACACTTGCTACCTCAGGCTTGTGCCTGGACCTACAGATTTTAGCTTTATTATTGCTTTGTTACAAGGAGCAGTGGCATCACACATTATATATACCCCAAGTGATTGAACTGGACTAGGCTCCTGGGAACAACTCCAGATGGAGGAGGGAACGGGGAGAACTAGGTTTAGCTTTGCCGACCGGGCCACTTTAGATCGACATGCATGGCTCAGCTGTTTTGGCGTGCGTGAAAGCTCGTACAAGCTCCGCGTGCTCAAAAGGATCCGGATGCGGATGCGGATGCACCCACTCAAACATGAAGAACGCTGATATCTGGCGATCGCTGGGGGAGGTGGACCCATCAAACGATTCGATCGCTATGAGGCTAGGCCCAAAAAGCTGTTTCCATAAAAAAAACTACCATTAACCAAAAAACAAATATTTTTCTGATACAAGAGAAGGATAAAAACATAATTTACAACAGCAATACTCTATTTACATAAAAAATGCCATGCCTAAAAACTGCCTTCCTCATATATTTCTCAAATTACCAGAGAAAAATTCAAAAAATTAAAATGAGCCATGGAATCTTTTTTTTTGAAATTTCCATGCCCTAATAAAATATAAACAAACATAATGGTCTGATGATAAAATTAGCAGAAAAAATGAGTATCTATATCAAGGCAAACATTATAAAAAAAATACCATTATGGATGTTTCAAAAAACGGAGACTAAAAAAAGAGAAATGCCATCGCTAAAATAATAAAAATGCCATCCTATGAATAAAAATTGCCATGCTACCTAATAAAAGATTGTCATCGTTTAAATAGTAAAAATGGCATAGCCAAAATAAAAAATGCCATGTTACCTAATACAAGCCCGCTAGGCGCGCTCTAGGGGGGCGCCCCAGGCTTGTGGGCCCCTCGTGGCACCTCTTGACCTAATCTCACCTCTATAAATTTCCAAATATTCCCACTATACCAGAGAGCCACCTGAAACACTTTTCCGCCGCCGCAAGTCTCTGTTCTTCCGTGATCTCATGTGGAGGCCATTTCTGATACTCTGCCGGAGGGGGAATCGACCACGGAGGGTTTCTACATCAACCTTGTCGCCCCACCGATGATTCGCGAGTAGTTTAGCACAGACCTACGGGTCCATTGCTAGTAGCCAAATGACTTCTTCTCTCTCTTTGATCTTTAATACCACGTTCTCCTCAATCTTCTTGGAGTTCTATCCGATGTAAATCTTTTTGCAATGTGTTTGTTGGGATCCGATGAATTGTGGATTTATGATCGGATTATTCATGAGAAATATTTGTGTCTTCTTTGAACTAATTTATGTATGATTGTTATAGCTTTGTATTTCTCTCTGATCTATCTGTCTGGTTTGGCCAACTAGATTGATTTATCTTGCAATGGGAGAAGTAATTTATAATGGGTTCGATCTTCCGGTGCTCCATCCCAGTGACAGAAAGGCAAAGGACACATATTTGTATTGTTGCCATTAAGGATAAAAAGATGGGGCTTATTCATATTGCTTGTATTTACTTTGTCTACATCATGTCATCTTGTTTAAGGCGTTACTTTGTTTTATTAACTTAATGCCCTATATGCATGCTAGATAGCAGTTGATGGGTGAAGTAATAGTAGTAGATGCAGGCAAGAGTCAGTATACTTGTCTCGGACGTGATGCCTATATACATAATCATTGCCTTGAATATTGTCATAACTATGCGATTTTCTATCAATTGCCCAATATTAATTTGTTTACCCACCGTATGCTATGTGTTCGAGAGAGAAGCCTCTCGTGAAAACTATGGCCCCCGGGTCTACTTTTATCATATATAAAATTAAAAAATACCCCGCTGCGATTTTACTTCTTTTTATTTTATTTTATCTATCTACCACTACGATATTTGATCCTTGCAAATAACCGTCAAGGGGATTGACAACCCTCTTGTTCGCGTTGGGTGCAAGTATTTGCTTTTGTGTGTGCAAGTGCTGCTAACGAGGTTCTGTGTCGTTCTCCTACCGGATTGATAACTTTGGTTCTTAACTGAGGGAAATACTTATCTCTACTGTACTACATCATGCTCTCCTCTTCGAGGAAATCTCAACGTTGCTCACAGGTAGCAGGAAGAATTTCTGGCGCCTTTCTCGGGGAGACATCACTGAAACTTATCAAGTACCTTCCCATAAATTATCATCTACTTGATCTTATTTTTATTTACCTTTTTATTTGACTTTGCCTCTTGTTTTCATCTCCCCCACTTCTAAAACAATTTTAAAAAACACAAAAACATTTTTTTGCTACCTTTGCTTGTGTTGCCATGTGCCTTCTATTTGCTTGCACCTTCGCTTGCTAAACATCTATTGATATGGATCCTCACCCACTTGCTAATATTTTCAAAAGATCAATTATGATGAAGCAATTGCTAGTGAGTTAAGTGCACTTGATTATCTCTATGAAGTTTTTCTTGAAAATCATGAATCTAAAAATTGTGATGAAGTGCCGAAAGAAGAAATTTCTAAAGTGATTCGTGATAGCTCCTTCAATGAAAAGCATAATTGCAACGATGCTATTATAAATTCTAATAATGTCAATTGTGTTAATAATATGCAAAACTGCAAGCTTGGG